ATTGTTTGTTTTGCTAAATTTCATCATTAACGTAAATGTAAACAAAGAAGTGAGCAATCACAATTTCTCTATAAGTGACCGATAGTTTCTTGTGTTGACAGTGAATTTCCATGATTGTTGTCAATAATTGTGCCACGAATGTTTAAATGTTTGATCCAGTTACTTTCTTTTCCTTCACTCTGACTTTTTACTTTATCGTTATTTCTAAAATCATTTACCTCAGAGAAGGCAACTTGATGAGACTAAAATTTATGGACGACCGATGAGCGACACTAGACTGACCTTAAGAGTGTCCACCTAATAACTACGACCAAACGAGGGTTATAAACCTGTGTGAGAAATTCGAATTATGATTTACAGTTGATCGTTAAGGTTAGGAATTAGATTAGGAGTTTTCATCACGAAGTGACATAATGACAAAATTCTATTTATCCAAATGGACCGGTGAATTTTAAGCCAAAATCCGAGACCTTTTATCTTTGTGCATAAATTATTGTTTCGCCATGCAACTTCATAAAAACCATACACCTGAGTTACATTTTGAAAGTTTTGTGCCTTCTCCAGCACAAAAATAAAATACAACATACCCAATTTCTCTATGATAAACTACAATTATTCTGTGATTTTGGGATTTCATATATTTCCACTAACACCCCGAGCAACCACTTCTAATGTCTCATCATTAGTAATCTTTCGTGAACATTTAATAGTTTATCCCATTATATATTATATTTTCCTAGAAATTTGATTCATGAAAACTCTACAATCAAACTAAATCGTGTTTATTATCAAAAGCGGTTTTGTGGAGATTTTAGAAATTTCACTGGTTGAAATCATGAGTCAATTGAAGCTAGACCAACATGGAAAACCTGAAAGCATTAAACAGCCGTTTCGTCCTAGTAAGGGACTCCTCAGCAGTGCGCATCCACGACCTCGGCCCCTGCGAGATTGGAACCCAGGACCTACTGGTCCCGCGCGCGAGCACTTAACCACTAGATCACTGAGCCGGCATCCAACGGTGTTAACGTCTAACTTCAACCAATCCACGAAGTTGCGCCACCATACACCATTGTCTTCAATGAGTTGATATCTCACAACCAACCTGGTCCCATACTACGACGAAACGGCCTTCTAGTGCTTTCAGGTTTTCCATGGTGGTCTAGCTTCAATTGACTCATCATTTCAACCAGTAAATCGTGTTTATATTATTCAGTGAAATTGATTTTTTATCTTTATTAGTATTTTAGTAGTAAATAAATTTTTTTAAAAATATAAATTATTTTCATTCCATTTTTTAGCTCTTCTTAGAGCATCACATAATGGTTTAATTAATTATATTGAATTATTGTTAAATACTGGTGCAAGTATACATGCATTAGATAAATATGGAAGATCATGTTTACATTTAGCAGCAAAATTTGGACATGTGAAAGTTATTGAATATCTCTTAAAGTACAGTGAGTTTCATACAAATAATTAATCACTCTCTCTCTTCATATATTCTTTTTGTTTCGTTAAAAATTCAGATAAGAATAACAGTATTAGTAAGAGTTTAATTTATACTTGGACAAGTTAACTGATATTTGTACTTGGTGGTCGATCAATAAATAACGTGTTATACCTGAAGCAAAAGATATTAGGTTCAGAATCCCATATGAATATAAATATCGAAATGATGGTACATCTGAATGATGAATGCTGAATTAGACAAAACTTACATCCTAGACATTTGATACTAACTAAATTCCATTTATTATAAAGTTAATAATATTTGAAAAGTATTGATCACTGTAAGTGCTGTGATTGGCTTAGATTGTGTTGTCATGTAACCTTCATCGCCAATTCAAGCTAGTTACGAAAGTCAATGAAACCGTGTAACACAGAATGACTGTCTCGACCAAACACTAGGACTCTTTAGCGATGCATTCGTCCAAGATATATTTGCTTATAATACTTGTGAATGAAGGCAATATGCACAGTATGCACATATACCAATAAGAGACTGATCAATTGCAGTCCTAATCATCAATGGGAAGACCCAAGTAAACAATACCAAGTGAATAGAAGTCAGAATGTTTATTTTCTTATTTAAGCACAACAATTTTGCGACATCCTAGTAAGAATACAATAGCTTAATTTCTAAACTTTTGTACTTCATAAAAGTCGACTGTACACATAGATCTTCTACTTTCTGGTTTCATTGGTTATCTAGCTGACTTCAGTGGATCGTGTAAATTCAACTTTCAAAACTAAAATAATTATCAAAATTCCTTTCACTCAAACAATTATATCCAATTATGTATCTTACCGACTGACCTGAGTTCTAAACTTCTAAAAACTCTGTGATTTCCTTATCATTCTCTCTATCCAATATTTCGACATTTCTTCAGTCGAACGTGTTCATAATCATCCACGTGCATTGATATGAACGATGTCAAATTGTGGCGTTTGACAGCTAGTTGTTCATGCAAACGAAGATGGTGGCGACAACTATTTTATCCAACGTTGTTAATTTACTTTATATTCTGCAATAATGTGAAGGCCATTATTTGTCATCGTTTATTAAGATACATCTATATTTGGGACTGATGACTAAACCGAACACTTCTACCTGAAGAGAGGGAGTTCGCTCTCCCTCTCGAAATGCACTCACATGACCACGCGTATACAGTCACTGTCAGGAAAGTCCTACTCACTGCCTTCTCGTTGGAGTGTTTACGAAATTGAGAGGACTAAAGGCGAATATCCGGTGCCTTAACCGGGTTGGTGGATAGGGACGATCCATCTACGGGAGTTCGAAAACCCTCATTCCAAACCAATCGTGTACATGGGCTCCATGATCCTGAAGGAACAAATGAAATATGAACCAGTCGTTGGTCACCTGCTACCATGCGACTGCATCTCCTTATGATGCTCCACTGTCCTGTGGGTCAGACCTTTAGGTCGAAGGCTCCGGGTGAGGCCCCCTAAGAAAACCACCTGCTTCAGTTTGGGCACCCGAACAGTATCACAGCCCTCACACAAATCAAATTAGATTTGTGTGGCACATATGTATCTGGTGGCCCCTTGTAACAATATGTCCAAATAATAATAATAATGTTGTTCAGAATTAAAATGAAAGCTCCACGACAGCTATCCAGCTCGAGAAACGAGACTCCATCATGTAAAGCTCTAATCAATAAATAAATCTCTGGTTCCCATTTATAGTTCACTGATCCAAGTAATATTTCATTAAAAAGTTTACAATTCACTTAGATTTACACTTATAGATGATTAGATATTAACAGACTAATTGCAAATTTCATTTCAGTTCCAGAAAAACTAATCGACTTACAAGAATATGAAAAGTAAGTATCGACCTTCTTAATTGTTTAATATTTACATATTCTAACTTAAATAAACTCATTAACCAGGTATTTGAGTATACCGAAAAGGGAAACTTGCGGATCAGGCTTCAAAGCAAGGACTTAGTGGCCGAATATAGAATGCCTTGACGAAATCTAGCAACAATAACCATAGACAAGGGAGTATACATACTCCAAGAATAACATATTAACCATTCATCTAGCATGTAGACACGAATGTCCAGAGAAATATCTAATCATTTACTTCTTGTACATGAATTGTATTCGAACTATCCAAGCTTTATTATATGATTATGAAGTTCATAAATAGCAAACATTCATATCTTATTCAAAATCAGATAATACCGAAGATAAGTCTCAATAGCATGGTGCTCAGTCTAAAATACTTGAGGTAATTAACAGTTGAAATAATGGGATAGGAAAATCACGCTAACCGGGAGAACAAAGATAGACACAAATGGTACAGGAGAGCCTCTTGAAAATATATAGTTAGTTAATAAATATCTAGCACTGACCAAAGTAAAAATAGCACAGAAATAGCATCGACTAAGCAATTTGTTTAACATATCAGCCAGAAAGTCTGTACGTTTGACAAAGTATTTGAAAAATACAATTTAAAATGACAGTTTAGGGAAACTGGTTCACTTTCAAAATTGTGAGGTACATCATACTCTGAAGCAGATTACTGTAAAAATAAGACGCAACCTTTAATCAAGCATGTATGCTAATTCCATATAAAATATTTCAAATGTTCGTTTTGTCTTTCTCTCAGGAACCAAACAGCACTACATAAAGCCGCGGCAAGTCGAAGGAGGGTCATCTGTAAAATCCTAATCACAGCTGGAGCCTGCCCAATAATTACTGATATTTATGGGAAACAACCAAGTAATTTGGCATTAAAAGCAAATGACCCACAACTTGCTACTTACCTAAAGAGTAAGTCGATTACAATTATAAAAACATCGATAGCAAAATATGAATCTCCTGTCAATAATAGAGCACTTGTCATTTCTTTTCTAGGAGAAGAAATATTGTTCATTATTAAAAATGGAGTTGAGAAAGTAGATGTGTAAAGTGGACGAATGAAGTAACTTTGCAACGCATTCCAAACAACCAACTAACATTTCCCATCTTTAGAATAGAACTCTTGCACAATTTAGTATAAACTATTATTTATTTCTGTCTAATAGTATCTCCATAGAATCTCTTAACCGAGAAACTTTTGTATTCCATTATAATTACGAATATATTATCAATAGAAATATTGTGCTTTTAATCTGAATAAAATTTACAATATTCGCATCCGATTTAGCAAGGAACCATTACAACTATGATTTAAACAACTGAATAAATGACAATAATGGATGCCTAAATACAATGAAAAACATAACTGAGCTTTTACAGAAAAAATATATATAAATAAGGGCTGTCATTTCATCCTTCTCTTAGAGAGCAGTCTCATAACTTTTTTTTTGTCCACCAAGCCTAATTGTAAAACCCTAATATTGAGCTGGACAACCTTTAGTCCTATTAAATAAATAATCCACGTTTTTTTATTGGTGTCAGTCACGAAATCCAATTAGTAAAAGGAGGGAAGCGACCCACAGCAAAGGATTTTATAGAAAATATGAACATCAAAGTGCTTAAAAAAGTATATTGAAACAAGTAAATGCTTTTACAAAACTTCTCCGCGATAATAAGTGGTTATCTGGGATAGATACCATGAGTCAGATTGCGTCTCAATGATATCCAGGAGGAGGTGGAGGTGGAGGAGGAGGATATCCTCGTACAGCGGTGACAGTTGGCATTCCACGACCGAACGCCGCAGTTGGTGCGCCTGCAGGGGGAGGAGGTGGAGGTGGCATGCCAGGAAGCGCTCGTGGCTGCATTAGACCCGGTGCTGGTGCTCCGACTCCCCAAACTGGCCCACCTAAACCAGCGGGTGGAGCTGGGGCAATAGCTGCTGCTGGGGTCGCAAGGGGCATGCCGCGCCCGACAGCAATACCAGTCAATGGCTTAACTCCAGTTGACCAAGCACCTGCTGTAGGGAGAGGAACTCGGGCGGCATCTTCAGGAGGTGGGGGACCATCTACATTCATAGTAACCTAAACAAATAATTTAAAGATAAATTTAGGAGAGCTCAATAAGTATAAAAACACTGTGAATAATATAAAACCCTATTTTGGGAGATTCGAGCTTATGAGTCAGTCAGTCAGTCAGCTACAACGTAGGACCAGGCACATATGTGCATCGGTCCAGGTTGCCATACCTCATTAGCACAGCAAGATGAACACCGGATTCATAGGAGTGGTTAGGTCAAAGGTTGCAATAAGGATATAGTATAGGAAGAAAGAATTAGTTCGTAGAAAGAAAGATATGAAGTGATTTTAATCTCTTAGTTTAAGGGAAGACAGGGAGTGTATACACCGACGCCATTGTGATCGATTCTGAGCCATGTCACCAAGAGCTTATGAATGATAAATTAGTAGTAATTAAATAGATTAAGTGACAACTAAGCATCAGTACTAGAAAAGCAATAATTTACAAATAGATCATTACCAGAAAAACCAATACTTAACCGTCAACACATGGTTTGTTAATTTATTACTCAGTTGAATGAGATAAGAATGAATATCGGAGATAACGGATTAGATAATTATAAGAAACGTGTTATAAACATGATTATTTTACATATCCAAATAAAAGTTCCAAAATGAAAACTATCCAAACTAGCAAAGCTTTTAGCTTAGAAAAGGTTAGAAAATTGAAGATAATAATTTGTGACGCTAGCAAACGTAATGATAGACTTCTAAAGATAGCCCATCTGAAGTAGATTACAGTCAGATCTGCCGTCCATCGTTCTACCAGGTAGGATTGAGATATTCGGGGTTTAAGTCATCTAAGTCTTTTTTCAGTTTAATTACAGTCACCTAAGGCGGTACACTGCACACTCAAACCTGTAGAGTTCAAAATCACAAAACATGTAGTGATAAGTATCGACAGCCATTTGTTTCCAGCAGCTACTAACTTAGAACGTTAAAGTCTGATCAGAACAATTGATAGTTATCACAAGATAAATCACTAGTATCCAGTTGAAAAGGACAAATAACCCAACCTTTTTTAAGTACATACTTAGATGTCATACTTAAAAAGAGTTTAATAATACTCCTGACCAGTCAGCTACAACGTAGGACCAGGCACATATGTGCATCGGTCCAGGTTGCCATACCGCATTAGCATAGCAACATGAACACCGGATTCATAAGAGTGGTTAGGTCAATGGTAGTCATATATAGAGGAAAGACTGCATATAAGGATGTAGTATAGGAAGAAAGAATTAGTTCGTAGAAAGAAAGATATGAAGCAATTCTAATCTCTTAGTTTAAGGGAAGACAGGGAGTGTATACACCGACGCCATTGTGATAGATTCTGAGCCATGTCACCAAGTCTCCAACCATGGGTTACGAAAGTCACGCGGACCCCAACCAAGTAGTCTGCATCTACCAACATGGCTCTGACCTGAAGTTAGTGACTTTGTGAACTGATACCACGTTTTGGCTAGTTTGTCCGCCCCTAACTTTCTTCTTATCAACTCCAACACTAGTCAGTATTGCTTGTCGTGGTAATCAGTGTTCAGGCATACGTACCACGTGGCCCAACCATCTCAGTCGATGAAGATTCACAACCTCATCAACTGATTTACCATCATCCCCTAATACCCTACGTCTAACGTCACTATTACTTACCCGGTGATCCCACCAGACGCCAGCAATATTTCTAAGGCATCTGTGGTCAAATACTAGTAGCTTACGAGTGTCTTCTACTCTTAATGGCTATGTTTCGCTGCCGTGAATTAAAACAGAACGGACTACCGCGCAGTACACTCGTCCCTTTATAGATAGACGGATATCTTGCCTTCGCCACAGGTGACGTAAGTTGGCAAAAGCCAAACGAGCTTTTCGAATCCGTGCTGAGATTTCGTCAGACCCCAACCCATTAGGGCTGATTAGACTTCCAAGTTAAGTGAAGTTGTCAACGCGTTCGACTACTTCACTCCCTATCCTTAGTTCAGGTATTGACGCAGACCATTCCTGAAGCAACAACTTGCATTTAGAGGGAGAGAAGCGCATTCCAAACATTCTGGCATTGTTGCTTAGTGCTACCAAAAAACTGCATTTTGTCAGCGTCTTCACCAAACAGGACTATATCATCTGCGTATTTTAAGTCGATAAGTAGACCTCCTGGAAGGAGATCAATACCCGAGAATTCAGTCGACGAGAATGTTATTTCTCTCAATAGGTCTATGATGAAGTTAAACAAAAATGGAGAAAGTGGACAGCCTTGACGGACACCACTTGAGGTTGCAAAAGCAGATGACAGTTCGCTATAAGCTCTGGCTCGACTAGTAGTGTTCGAGTCAAGAGCCTTCACAAGGTTTATGTACTTCTGAGGTACGCCTTTCAATGACAAACACTGCCACAGAATATCGCAATGTAGAGAGTCAAATGCTGCTTTCAAGTCAAGAAAGACCACCATTGTCGGACGCCGATAAGTATGGCTGTGTTCTAGAACCTGACGAATGGTGAATATGTGGCCGATGGAGTCACGACCAGGTCTGAAGTCAGTTTGGTTCTCTCGTGTTTGCAGTTCACGAGTCTTAGTTAGACGTCTGATAATTATCGAGGCTAGTATTTTAGATACTATATTAGTTAAACTAATCCCTCTATGGTTGTCACAGGTTGATTTTAACCCTCTCTTATATATTGGGACGATAAGTGATCGTGACCAGTCAGATGGAATAACGTCTAACTCCCAGATCTTAGCTAAAATATTAGTCAACCTAATCGCTAAAATTGGACCATCATCCTTAAAGACTTCTGGAGCCAATCTATCTGGACCAGCTGCCCTTCCTTGTTTCAGATTAACTATGGCCTTTTGAACTTCAGCTAGAGTTGGGGGACCTACTTCAATGTTCCATTCACAGTCTGGGAATGGAGGGTAGTTGTAGAGTAGCTGAAGGCCAGTTGAACTGTTCTCTAAAATGTTCCGCCCATCGTTCTAAACGTCTGGACTGGGAGCAGATGTATCGTCTTTTCCCGAAATAGTCTCACCTACAATCGACTTATTAATTCCAGTTTCTTTTATTAGTCTGTAAAGAGTTTAATAATACTCCTAATGAACGAAAAACTGTGGACTTTGTTTTCGCTACTCCCTCTACAAAATTGACATGACTCCATTAGGATGAACAGAAACTACTTTTTATGTAGGCGATATCCACCTCTATTTGCTCGACTACTCAAACTGAATTCGAACAGGGTATAGAGCTAAGCTGTTTGGAAGTGGAGTACCAAACGTTAAGATGTTCACGGTATCTTTTAGCAGCTTCAATTGATGTGCATTCACAGTCATCATCCAGTAATGAATGCATCAAGTTATTACCAACTAGGTAGTTTTATTAGTGGTGAGGAAGCTTCGAGGGTACTAGTAATCAGGTCTCTCAGTCAGTCGGTCAGCTACAAAGTAGGACCAGGCACATATATTCATCGGTCCAATTTGCCACACCTCACTACCACAACAAGATCAACACCGAATTCACAAATTAGTTAATTCAATGGTGGTAATATATAAAGGAAAGATTGCATATAAGGATATAGAACAGGAAGAATTAGAGCTTAAAAAGAAAGTTATAAAACCTTTTTAATCTCATAGTTTAAGGGAACACAGAGTGTATACACCTACGAAATTGTGACCGGTTCTGGGCCATGTCACGCAGTCTCCAACAATTGGTTACGAAAGTCACGCGGACTCCAACCAATTAGTCTGCATTAGTGAGAGTGTAATTTATGGACGACCGATGAGCGACGTTTAAGTGACCTTGAGTGTCCACGTAATGAGGGTTATAAACCTGTGTGAGGAATTCGAATTATGATTTACAGTTGATGGTTAAGGTTAGAAACTAGGTATTCATCACTAACTGACATCAACTATAATGCTAGCTGACTGACTGACGATAATGCCAAAACTCTGTTTATCCAAATGGATGGATGAATTTGTTACCTTATACATGATTGGTTCGTCCATATATTATATTCTCGCCGTCCGCATCTACCAACATAGCTAAGACTAGAAGTTGGTGAATTTAAGGACTGATGCTACGTTAAATCTGGTGAAATATAGCATTGTTGTGAAACACACACCTCTACATAAACTTATACTTCCCAGGCGTCGTAAGAAATTAACAGTTTATATATACTTGAGAACGAGTAATCCAACGTAAAATGAGTGAAAATAGATTTAAGACAAATTGGACTGTAGATGAGAAACAAGACATCATTGTTAACAACGGAGAGTTGGTAGCTTTGCAATTTAACAGGGATTCCCCGGAACATACATGAATATTATGGTGTATTAAAACGTAGCCAGGTTAGCAAGGAAATTAAACTAAGTTCTAAATTAACTCAGGGTCTTTGCAACTAAATGGTTAATCCAAGAAGACAATGAAGCACAGCTGCTTATACAGTGAATTTTAGTTCGAGTAGCATTGGAAATAATCAACTCTGAAAGTTTCTTAATAAACTTGCAACACTCGTAAGACGTGTTAACTATATGACTACAGACCCATACTTGGAAAACAGAGTAGTGTCCATAGAAAATATGTAGTTGTCACATTATAGTATTAACATAAGACCAATTACTAAGTTCGTACAGTCTTGTTGACCAGAGTACTGAATTTCAAGCATACAAAGAACAAGCAGAGTTCGAGTTTCGAATTAAGTCTGGAATTTGAGTTTTCATTCATGACCGATTTATATAGAGGGAGATTTCCACACTTGCAATGTTTTGGAATCCTCAATGACGCAGATTGGCTGAAATATGACTAACGTCGTAAGGGACGTTGATTCAACTATCTTTAATGGCTTTTTGGAAGTTGAACATTATTTTAATATTAATGTTGCACCTGTTTAGTGCGTATTACACTTTAAATAACATTTGTACGGTACATGACAACAGAATTATAAAGCAAAAAAGTTACTTACAACATGTTCACCTCGCAAAAGAACAAGGCCTAGAGCCCGTTTTTCCTGGCGATCCTTGTCTTGCTTTGCTGTCTTGTTTTTGACTTGGCGAAACTCGTCGCAATCGCACAATATTATATTCATGTGACGATCGAAAGCTTTGAACGTCCCTACTAGTTGCCGGCCATCTTGCATGGTACATCTAATCCTATAATTAACATGCTGGCTGATCTTTGCATTCTTACTAACAGGCTAAAAGGCAGTGATTAGAATAGGTGATAGCTTACCATAGTTGAAACCAAACGTCAGGTCGCCGACACGTTTGTATCGAACTAAACAAGCGCCATATAAAGTCTTCAAACTTGAACGGTGTTATGCAGTTAAATTGACTCACACTTTCCATGGACTTGAGATTTCATTTTACGATTTAATGGAACGATGGAAGGTGTATTTCTCTTGTTTATACCTCAGGAACAGCGAGACAATAATCTATGGGCGAACCAATCATATTTAGGATAACGAGTCTCTGGTTTTGGCGCAAAATTCATTCACCCATTCGTCCAAATAGCGTTTGGCCATTTTAGTTTGTGTCAGTTCGTAATGAAAACCATAAATCTAAATCCTTACCCTCATCATTAATTGTAAATCAATTTCTATATTCTTCAAACTGCTTTATAACCCTCATTTAGCCCTAGTAAGTAGGTAGACACCCTCAAGGTCACTTTAGCGTGGCTCAAAAGTCATCCATGAATTATAGTCACACCAGTGTGTGATACTCTGATGTTCGTCAAAAGTGCGTGCAAGCAAAAATACTTGAAACTCGCATATACGTAATTTCTCAAATTTGGGTGACAGTAGCACATCTTCCAATACCCTCAGAGGTTACAAAATTCGTGATGAAAAATGTTTTACTCAACTACTTATTATCTTTAAACTCCTCTTCCCCGAAGCAAAGTAGTTTCAAGAGGCGCCACATCCTGCATTACCAATCTGCAGGTCAGCCACCATTCTCGGCAGCGAATGGAAGACCGATGAAGTTCACCTCGATTTCTCAAAAATCTTTGGTAACGTGAATAACACATGCCTTTTCACTAAGCTCAGGGTGTTAGGTATCAGCTCACTGTTAATAAAATAGTTTGAGTCATGTTGAAATACTAGGTATTCGAAAGTCACTGTATACTTTACATTTTCTCAGGCTACAGAATATCCTGTTACGTTCAATCCATAACCAAGTACTAGGAACTCTTCTCCCTTCGTTTGAGTTACTACTTTTCGCTGAAGGCAATAGATCTTGGAGTGAAGTTTCAAACTTGGACTTTAAGTCAGGACTTTAGGAGGATCCAACTCCATGTCTAAGTTTGGAGAATAACGATGAAATAACTTTCAAGACACATTAGTGTAAATTGTTTCGAGGCATATAAAAAAATACATGTTTAACCCAGGCAATTTCCTTCCAAACGTGTTCGGAGTTGACATAATTCTTGGAGTCATCGCACCCCGATGTCCAAGATCTTAAGTCAACCGCAAGAAAACGCCTCTAGAAGAAACCTCGCGATGGTTACATTGAGGAACATTTTTGACAGTTTCGGCAGCAGGAATGTTTGCTGCATTTTTAGCAGATTAACTCAACCCCTATTTGGAGTACGAAAGTGTAGCGCGTCTCCCTTTACTCCCAAAATTGATAACGTATCCAAAGTTGAAGTACGAAATCAGTCAGGGGTTTTAAATTTAAACTTTATTATGGATGTTTACTCAATAAAGTGTAAGTCACCGAATGGCGATCATTAAATAATGTTTAGCATCCTAAACACTTCTGTGCATCAGTTAACCACCTACGCGAGCTCAATCCATAAGCAAACCACAGATATAGTACCAAGAATGACATAGCAAGGTGGACTGTGTATGTAAATTTTGCCCCTTACTGTTGGTCAAATTCCAGGATTTACTATCAGCTCACGTCGTTCAAGCAACCTTTCCAGAGTCCTTGAAGAGAAAACTTGATATATCTACAACACCATCTTGTTATAGTTTACTAATATCTCTATTTTGTTCACCGGATAAACGTAGGTCTCTATCTAGAGTCATTTTTGATATATTAATATTGAAAATGAAGCCAGTGAAGCAAAAGCTTCTAGATCACCAGCGTAGATAGTCTGTATCGAATGGTAGAGGGCTTGCTCGGTTTAAATGAAAATGATGTGAGCAACTATTTGACTTTGAAGTTACACCTCACATTCGGCATCTAACGTGGATTACCCTTTCGCCGTACCAAGTTACTATGGCTGCTTTGAAGACCGTATGACACAAAAGACGTTATTACAGAAATATATAAGTAAGAGTACGTACAAGAAAGAGAATACGACAACCACCGCATGGGTCAAATCATAGCGTATGATTAATTGATGTGCGTTAGCTGTTCTTGATCTTGAGAAGAATCAGTCAACCACTGGACATTTAGTGACCCGACTGTCAGATGGTTTAAATGGTGGTCAGTGAGATTTCTTTGTGTTTACAAGCTTTTTTTATTTATCCACTTAACTGACAACAGAGAATATATAAGATCCATTTGAACACTTAAATTTAAATTTAAATTCGCGTTTTCTATCGAAAAATTATTAGAAAGTTCTAATAATGTTTCATGAAAAAGTTAATCCTAAGTCTTACACACTTTTCTGCAATTTAGTGGAGTACGTATGATACGTAGAAAAATCCTTTCGAAACTGAAACAAACGGACCACATTACCTCACTGTGTAGAATACCCAAGCAATCTAAGTTACACTCAATTTGTTGACGACTGGTGTTGGTCATTTGCTCCTCCGTCACGACATTTCTCCGGCTGCAGAGGTTGCGTCCACACTGCGTCAGGAAACAATTCTGTTCTGGGCTTGTTGAGCGCAGCCTACCTAAGCTACGAATGTTCTGCTATCCTGCGTTCGACCACTAATGCTTGTAGAGGACTGTTGTTATCTGGTCACGACGCTGTATTACTGGCATTGATGTCTGGAAATATCATAGATTCCATTAGTGTCGCCATTTTTAGACATATATTTACGTGACTTGACAAGAATATCATCCCAGAGACTTAAATATTGTAAGATCCATTTTGAATGTTTTGTGTATGAAAATTCCTCCATATATACACTTGCAGTTCGTTCCTGTTGATTCCTTTGGTTGTACATTTTGTTAGTCTTTTTGATTCAATTTGATCTGGTAATATTTGTATTTTATTACAGTTCTTATTTTGCCTACGCCTTCGGTAAGTTTTCATGTTTCTTCCTGAACTGCATTTATGTTGTTTTATTTGATACTTAGTCCAGCGGCAACCATGTTGGTTTGTTCCTCCTTTTGATTATTTTCCTTGTACTGACTGGAATTGTGCATTTTTGATTGTGAATTGATGCACTCTTTCAGAATTGGGATTGTTATAAAGCAACCAAATATTATTTCCTGTAAGAATATGTACGTGGTCTATCCAGACAGGATAAAATAACATTTATTTGTTGTGATTGGTAATTTTCTCTCATCCTTTATTAACTTCCTCATTTATTGTAATTTAGAATTGATTAATTGAACAATTATTGGTTGGATATCTGGGTGGTCATACTTGTTTAGGTAACAATGTACATTTAGATTTACGAGGAATTTTAGAATCGTCAATTTGCCCAGTCACATTGTTTTGGGTTCGACCGGATAAGGGAGCGTATCTAACCTGTCGGGCTCACCAATTATGGTCTACTATGGAATTAATACTGCTCTAATAATGGAGGGACCACGCCTGCAAGGCCAAGCCATGCCATTCGATCAACTTTAATCAGTTCAACTCGTTGTTCCCGCCTTTTGCATCGTTCGGTATTTCTCTGCGTTAAATATTGAATATCTATTTTCCTAGTCGTTTCGTGTTCAGCTTTGAGGATTGTGTGGTTATGGTCCAATGCCACTACAAACACACCTAGACAGCTATTCTTCAGTCCAAACCTTAGTTTGGATCTTACACATATCACGCATCATCCATTGATGTTGGGGTAGCGTGATGGATTTAAAATATAGTGCCATGAAATGGAATAATAATGTATATGGTAAGCAACTCTCAGTCCAGCTAATTACGCTGGAAGTGATGCATAAGCTTCATCAGCATTTTTATCAGAACTCATTGGTATAATGAAGGTAACTTAAATATAAATTTTGGAAGAACTCTATCAATGCACACGGTCAGTGAGCAATTAACGGAACTTTATTCATTGGTACCAAAGCCTGTGAATCCTCGTCTCAGGCATGCTTACACGCTAAATGAACAGTCTAAAGGGAGAAGAGAACTTTCAAGCTTTTGCAACTGAATACTACAGAAACTAAAGTCGAACAGAGGGAGCACAGCATGTATAATATGTCAGTTTTACTGGATACACCCCTGGCTAAAGAGGTTCAGTCGTGCATCCCCTCGAAATCACAACCGAGTAAGCTTTGCTGTGCAACTACCACAACCACCAGTCAGACGAAAATTCATACACTCTGATACTTTCGCCGTTATTTAAATACATCTTCACACCTGTTCATTCCCAATTCCTGGTACGATTGGGTTTTTGATCCTTGCATAAAAGAGAATTCAGGCTGTAGCATTGCTGAATACTGCATAACCGTGACATCTTGAGCCCAATTCACTTAAATTTCTGCGGTTCCTGTACTCAGGTTAAATGATATATCGATTGCGACCCCAGAAAAATAGAGTCGATACAACGAATAAATAAATCGGTAACATCAATCCGGAGACCAAAGACCGGATATTGTGATAAGCCACTGATCAATTGAGGTAAAAAGACAAGACTAGAGGGACTCCAAAGAATAAACACATCAAAATATCGGTGAAGAATACGCGGAAGAAAACAAGTGTTACTATCATGGATGTTTGCTGGTGGTTGAAGTGTGTGGTGATACTGTAGTGGCATTGGGCCTTAACACGAGACAATTCGGGAAGTAAACACTCAACATTTAAGTCGGAGAAAAACCCAAAGACGGAAAAAGCGGGAACAACGAATCGAATTCGAGTTGATCGGATGGCATGACTCGGCCTTGCAGGCGTGGTCCCTGTGGAATGTTGCCTTATATAATAATATAAACATATTGTTTTATCTCTAGCCTAAGCTTTTTCTCTATCATGTATTGGTAATTGTTGAGATGCAGTGAGTTGGTGCAGACGATGAAGTAGACTTCACGTAAGACCTTATAGATTAGGTAGTTGCATCATGACAAATCTACAATTTTAGGATCAGGGCTATTATTAGAGCAATACTATTAACGAAGTAGACCATGATTCTACAATACTTCTAAGGAGGATAGAAACCCTGAAATTTATTTCTATGGATCTTTTCATTCAGCGTCTGTTTGATCGTACGACTTGTTTTTATTGTATTTGGTTCGTCCTGAATTAACTGGATAATAAGACTTATGCATCCAGTCTTGAAAATATTAGATAGTGATGGTGCTTTTAAAAACTG